ATTACTATTATTATTATTATTATTATTATTATTATTATTATTATTATTATTACCGAGCTTTCATTGAAACACTTATCCATTTCTCTCATGGAACACTAAAATTATAACCAGCTTTTAGACCGTCATCATTCTGCAAGTATTGAATGATAAATTTAGTCAGTTAATTCATGATCCAAAAATCAAAAAAATAATTTACAATGTCAGAGGATCTTGGGGTTCTGAAAACTTACAAAAAGGTTATAAATTTATTGAAAAATTAATATTTAGATGAAGGATGAATTTATCAAGCACACTAGACTATTAAATGTATTATTTTCACCGTCAAAATCATGAAATAATTTCAGCTAGACCAGTATAAACCACTAGAAGCAATAGACGACTGTTTCATCATAGTATGGAACTCTTCACCAGTGTGAATCCTTAACTATATATTCTTGTATTTTTAGAAAATCTTTATTAGGGAAGAAGTTGAGGAACAATTGCTGACGAAAGTTACTAAGTAAACAATCTCATAAAGTTTAAAATTGATGATATACAAATGTTTTTTGGAAAATTTCCAGATGATTTATGTGTTTTCTTTTTAAAACTATTTAATTATTTATTGAGCACTACTAATATGAAACAGAACGTCTTGAATGTAGAACTTTCTTTAGAAATTCATTTACTTCCAGTCTTTTTTCTCACTGATTTACCAAGAAAGAAAACTGATGATGAAAAAGTAAAATAAACCCCTTAGAATTCTCTCCTCCCCCCCCCCACTTTGTATAATCTCAGTCTCCTCAATTTGTTATTTCAGTATAATTGTAATTTTAAAAAAAAGGAATCAGTTTTTTTTATAAAATTTATAGATAATTATAAATTCAGCGAGAAAATAGCTGTAAAATGTTAACTTCAACAACTCACATACTCATATACATTGATGGACTCATTTCATTCAGCATATATTATTCTTATAAGTGATTAACTCTATCCCCCCCTCTTGCCGCTGCTCTTGTGCTTACTTCTGTTTTCTTTTTCTTTTTTTAAAAAACCAAAACATCAACATTCAACTGAACCAACAACAAAATGTGGAAAAAAAAAGACAAAACAACTAAACATTTAAGATCCTGCTGTCTTAATTAAAACAAGAAATCTCAGTGAATTTTATAATAGTGAATAATTTTTATTTCTTTAAATAAAATATAGAAGGAGAAAAAAGAAATGCAAATTATAATTATTCCTATATGGTAAAAATGACGATAGATTAGAAGCTTAAACGATACCTGATCCAAACAAAAATCATCATAATACCCAGCTGTTTATTTATTTTCATGAATAGTTGAGAGAAACAAAAAAAACAACAGACAAACAAATAAACAAACAAACATTTAACACCAATTCTTAATTGTGTTAAATTGTTCAATGCGGACTACACACGTACACATACACACACGCACATGTAAGCACAACACATCATTAATGAAAATTAGTGTAAATAAAAATAATTATTATTCAATTAAGAATATTTAAATTATCATTCACATTTTTGTTTATAAAGGCTTGTGACTTAGGGCATTATCACAGCATTTCGCATAGGATTCACATAAACCAATAAGAGACTGATCAATTGGAGGCTTAAACAATAATGGGAAGATATAAGCAAACAATACCAAGTGAATTAACTCGTATACATCCTCCTCTCACCTGTTACTTTTCGTGAAGGAGCATAGGCCGCTCACCAGCATTCTCCATCCAACCCTGTCCTGGGCAATCCTTTCTAGCTTCGTCCAGTTGTAATTCATCCTTTTCATATCTGCTTCTATTATCCGACGCAATGTGTTCTTCGGCCTTCCTCTTTTTCACTTCCCTTCAGGATTCCAAGTTAGCGCTTGCCTCGTGATGCAGTTTGACGATTTGCGTAATGTATGTCCTATCCATTTGCATTGTCTTCTCCTAATTTCTTCTTCAGCTGGAAGTTGGTTTGTTCTCTCCCACAGAAGGTTATTGCTGATGGTATCCGGCCAATAGATGTTGAGTATCTTGCGTAGACAGCTATTTATAAATACTTGTAATTTCCTGATTGTGGTTGTTGTAGTTCTCCAAGTTTCAGCTCCATACAGTAGAACTGCCTTGACGTTGGTATTGAGGATTCTCACTTTGATATTGGTTGAAAGTTGTTTTGAGTTCCATATGTTCTTTAATTGTAAGAATGCTGTCCTTGCTTTGCCAATCCTTGCCTTTACGTCTGCGTCTGAACCTCCTTGTTCATCGATAATGCTTCCTAGATATGTGAAGGACTCTACACTTTCCAGAGTTTCGCCATCAAGAGGGATTGGATTTTTGTTTTCCGCTTTGAATTTGAGGACTTTGGTTTTCCCTTTGTGTATGCTGAGGCCTACTGATGCAGAGACTGCTGCTACACTGGCTGTCTTCATCTGCATCTGTTCGTGTGTACGCCTGTAGCTTTTATAGGGTTACTGCCGGTCCCAATTCCGGGTAAAGGAGGAGGGTTGGGCATGGGGTTAGCGTCCCCATCCCGTAGAAAACTAACTCGCTAAAAAAACGCTTACCAGAAAAAATAATCCAAACTCGTATGCATACAAATATACAAATTATGAACAGTACATTTTTTATAATGAGATCCTTGGTAAACTGACTTTATATAATGAATGAATGAATTTAGAATAAATAAGGTGAATTTATTGAACACATGTGAATTAAGAAAAAAAATCTTTTATAATGAATTTTTCATTAAATTGTTGTATGAAAAGGAAACATATAAATTGTTTATAGAATTTCTTTGAGTCATAATATTCAAACAAAATGGTAATCTCAATGGTTGAGATCATGAGTCAATTGAAGCTAGACTACCATGGAAAACTTTGGAGTACTGGTAATCAATGATATATTAAAGAATTTCATAGGAATATAAACTTATGAAATTTAAGTATTGGTAAATTTTCACCATATCAAAACATTCCTTCTCTTCAATTAATGTCATTCATTCAAATAATCAAAGATTTTAATAGTTGAATTTATGAGTTGATCTAAGCTAGATTAGCATTGAAAACCTGGAAGCACTAAACGGTCATTTCGTCTCAGTATGGGACTCCTCACCAGTGCGCATCCTACAAAGACTAGTGTATACAACTAGGAAAATACTACAATCTCCACAAATCACCATTCTGATAACAATCATGTGCTCACTAGAGACGAGGTTCAACATGGAGCTCTTGGAGTTCTAGTGATAAACAGTGGAGTCCAATCCGTGTTGGATGTAAAACGACTTTCCACCTCAGGCAATGGATGAAGGGCTGCACAAGATCATGTATCGATTCATGTTATACATTAACATCGTTGGATGCCGACGCAGTGGTCCAGAGGGTGTGTCCGTGCGCGAGACCAAATGTACTGAGTTCGGGTCTTGCGTGCGAGATCGTGGATGCGCACTGGTGAGACGTTTTGTACTGGGACGAAACGGTCGGTTAGTGCTTCCAAGTTTTCAATATTGGTTTAATGCATATCGACTCATTAATTGAGTTGTTAGAATTACTGCAATCTCCACAAATCCCCCATTGTGATAATAATCAAATATTATCTGTTAAATATCATTTATGTAATACAGTCTTATGATAGAGAAACTTTTTTGCATTACTATTTTCAGTTTTAAAAGGGGTGAAGATCAAATTCTCTCTCGTTCGTAATTTTTATCTTGAACCTAGCAACCAACCAAAATGAATAGGTTATTATTATTATTATTTGCACTTCAGTAATCCATGATGGAGGGCGTGTCTCGTTATCTGTCGTATTTGCTGGCTTACACAAAATATGTAAACCTAAAGTATTACTTCATCATGATACAGACGTGTCAGGTGTAGTGCAGCCAGTCATAATGAGAAAAAAATTACAACATAGCAAAAGACATACCTTTGTAAATGCTGGAATATAAATTATTCTAAAATATTCACAATTGATTGATGAAGTAACTGAAAACATAACCCAAGTTACTGACTACGATACACCTAAACGACTTAACAAAGTTGAGTATGTTCCCACCTTTTAAAAGTGAGTAATATACAGTTCAATCTTAAAGATACTCATAATTATCATCCAAGCTATATGTACGTGAATAACTATAAATCGAGACAGTCAACTGACTATAGTTCCTTTGAAGCAATAATTATTATGTAGTGGCTTCGAAGTAAAATACTTTTATGTTAGAATTTTATTAATCATTAACAAATGAAAGAAAACTTTTGTTAAATTGATCGGTAGTGTATATAAGATTATAAATAATTAATGATACCTTCAATATAATCGAAATCGTGTTCTGTTAAACAAACTGAATACAGTATTATGAATAAAATTATCATTAGATGGTAGATATTATTATGCATATGCGAGGCAATTCTTAGAGTTTCAGTACAAAACTATCATCAGTGAAGTTTACTTATGTGTTGCCTGAGATAAATATCACCGATGACTTGAAATAATGGTTATACAATACCAATAGTTGATTGATCAGAAATATAATTTAATGAAATCAAAATCGTTGTTCCAGTCGATTAAACTGCTTGTAAGCCTTCAAAACCTTGAAGGTTTTACGTTCATTCTTTGGAAAGGTCATCAGAACACTGCTGAGGAGTTTTATAATATGAAGAAAGATCTGTTCCATAATTCCCAGTTTCTAATGATTCTTTTACTAAAATTAACTTGCTATGTAAAACTCTAAATAATTTCAACTCAACGGCTATGTGATAAAGTTAGCTACGAGCCAGAACACTTGAATAATTCAGGGTTCAATTTGGTATGACTTTGTGAGTATGTTAAGGAGTCTGTAATTATGAACTAAACAACTATCGAATGAATATAGAATTTTAATGGTTCTATAAGTAATTTAAGTTTATGACGAAATTGTTCGTGTTGTTGTCTTTTCTTCTCTGTGTTTAAGCACAGTTGATAAGAAGTTATAGACTTCAATTTTCTCTGTAAAGGTATTAAAATGGTATGATAATGTGCTTCTACAGTGTAGTAGTAGTAGTAGTAGTAGTAGTAGTAGTAGTAGTAGTAGTAGTAGTAGTAGTAGTAGTAGTAGTAGTAGTAGTAGTAGTAGTAGTAGTAGTAGTAGTAGTAGTAGTAGTAGTAGTAGTAGTAGTAGTAGTAGTAGTAGTAGTAGTAGTAGTAGTAGTAGTAGTAGTAGTAGTAGTAGTAGTAGTAGTAGTAGTAGTAGTAGTAGTAGTAGTAGTAGTAGTAGTAGTAGTAGTAGTAGTAGTAGTAGTAGTAGTAGTAGTAGTAGTAGTAGTAGTAGTAGTAGTAGTAGTAGTAGTAGTAGTAGTAGTAGTAGTAGTAGTAGTAGTAGTAGTAGTAGTAGTAGTAGTAGTAGTAGTAGTAGTAGTAGTAGTAGTAGTAGTAGTAGTAGTAGTAGTAGTAGTAGTAGTAGTAGTAGTAGTAGTAGTAGTAGTAGTAGTAGTAGTAGTAGTAGTAGTAGTAGTAGTAGTAGTAGTAGTAGTAGTAGTAGTAGTAGTAGTAGTAGTAGTAGTAGTAGTAGTAGTAGTAGTAGTAGTAGTAGTAGTAGACAAAATAATAAAAATCATGTTTTTTTCTGTATTTCCTTTCACCTTTTCTTTATTCCCATTTAATTGGTATTAAAACTGGCTGCTCTACTGACATTTAGATCAAATGAATAATATATGTGTGCACTTACCCTCCCCTTGTGCTCTTGCTCATACACACACAAACATACTTGTGTATGACATACAATCAACGTTGTCATTATCATCATTATGATAAATTCTCAATAAATCTTGAAGGTAAAAAGAAAACAAAGAATTATTTTTGTTATTTATTTATTCATTTATCTATAATGATATTTTTGTATATTTTGATACAAAAGTTTTATTCAAATGACCAAAGAAGAAGTATTCAGGTCATTTTGGGCACGTTCATCATGTGTACATATATGTACAGATCGGTCAATATTGGTATATATGCCAATTTGTTTATCATTTGTTTAGAAGTCAGATGATATTTTTTGTTCCTTTCACTATAAACATCTGTATGAAGATAATTAACTGAGAAAAAGAAATTAATCCACAATTCAAACATATTATTATTACCATTTTTGTTTGCAACAGTATTAACAATGTATATACATCTGTACTACTACTGTTACCAGTATTCGTACTGACTTCAATAATAAAAAAAATGCTTGTAATACATTAGAGATGAATGAAGTAAATTGATGCGACTACATACATATAATCTATCGGAGGTAAACTTTTATTATGAATGAAAGAATGTGACACTTGTCATTAATTAGCGCACAATGTTATATTCATCTAGTCTTTTACTGAAGACCAAATGCTATTGTGATATGGCCAATAGTCTTTCTAAATGACACTATATCTCATGGAAAACGTCGAGATTTTGAGGAGTTGGATATCCCCTCGGTTACTTCCAACTACCTAACAAGTAATTTCGACATTTAACAGCTCATTCGTAATTAACTCCTAATTCATCTTACGCCTATTACCCCTCATAGAGGAGAATAGGCCGTCCACCAGCATTCTCCAGTCAACTCTCTTCTTTCCACTCCGTTCCAGTTGTTATTCATTCTTTTCATGTCTGCTTATAACCCCCAATGCAGTGTTTTTTTTATCTTTCCTTTTTTCGTTTCGCTTTAGGATTCCAACCTAGCATTTGTCACGTGATGCAGTCTGATGATTTTCGTAATGTAATTCTTATCCACCTCCAATGTCTTTTTTCTAATTTCCTCTTCAGTTGGAAGTTGGTTTGTTCTTTCCCATAGTAGGCTGTTACTGATGGTTTCCGGTCAAAGGACATTGAGTATCTTGCATAGACAATTGTTTATAAACAATTGTACATTTTTATTGATGGTTGCGTTAGTTCTCGAAGTTTAAACCCCGTACAATAAAGCTGTCACTCTGAGTCGTATTTTAGAATGCTGTTTTTTCTGTTGTGTATGTTGAGGCCTATTGATGCAGAGGCTGCTGCTACACTGGTTGTCTTGATCTGTATTTGTTGATGTGTATGGGAAAGAAGTGCCACGTCATCTGCGAAGTCTAAATCGTCTAAGTACATCCTAGCTATTCATTATATTCCGTGCTTTCCCTGAAATATGGAGGTCTTCATAGTCCAGTTAATCACCAGAAGTGAAAGAAAAGGCGAGACAATATTGATTTATAATCTCACTAACTCGATCATTTCTACGTAGTAGTCTTTAGTTAACCTCAAAGTTACCCAATTAATGTTTACGTAGTATGTAAAAAGATTTCTTTAATCAGAATGGGTTTTGTGGAGAATTTACGAAATTTCACAGGTTTTTAAATCATGAGTCAGTTGAAGCTAGACCACCATTGAAAACCTGGAAGCACTGGACGGCCGTTTCGTCCTGGTGAGGAGTCCCATACCAGGATTTCTTTAATCGTTTCTATGGTCAACTATAATCAACTTATGTATATCCATTACATTAATACATCATATTTTACAATTAGAATAAAAAACAGAAAGTAATCTAAAGCTCACTAATATAATTGCTTATTGATAAATTCAATAACCGACAAATCATCTGTACACTACAGATAGTTGGAATTTGATAATAACTAAGCAAACTATTATTGTATCTTAATTATTTTAGTAAAATATTATCTCAAGTATAAACTAGATGAATAATGGATGATAAATAGATAACTAAATAATTGGAAAGATCAATAAAATAGTTTTAATGAACGAAATTATACTAAACAATAGCTCAGTTGTTATTATTTTCTCTTCATTCATTCAATGTTCAAGTTTAATAATGTGGCTTTTTTTTTTCTTAAACAAAACAAAAAAAAGAAATTCATTGCATTTTACTATTTTAATGATTTCGATTGTATAGAAATCAGAAAAAGACATGTTCACATAGATATATATATCTTAAATTAACCCATACTCATATGATATATACAATGTATAAAACTGAACTAGATTTGACCATGGGATAATGTTGACAATTTGTTGATTTCATCTTATTGACAAATGAAATAGAATGTTGATAGGGGTGGTGATGATAGAGATGTGGTAGTGTGTGGGGGAGAGAGTATTCATATTTGAGAAGTATTTATTCCACATTTAGCCCATGATCGAAAAACCTGTATGATCATGTATGCGTACATGAACGTGTGGTTAAATTAATCATGCGGAATAGTCTCATATATCATAGTAACAATATTATTATTATTAGTGTAGGGTTCTAGATCTTTCTCTTTTCTACTTCTTATTCCTGTTTGTCAATCCCATTTGAAATGCACGTCTATGATAAAGTGACTTTTTTATAATCATAACCACTAAAAGCAGATACACTACACATACACTAGGTTCTCATCAAATTCGGCACGTATTTTTTGTCTACACTTGGCTTTCTATATAGTTTTAAATAATTCTTTTTAAAAATGACGGTAAGAAATGTATTCGTGTTGTTAAATGAATGAAATAATCCACCTTATCCGTCAAGTTGACATTCAGTGTAGTTGTGAAGCTAGTGAGTAATACATAAAAGAGATGAGGGGGTGACAATGACACACTAGCCAAACAATCAACATTTATTAGATTTTTATTTCGAATTTATTTGTATACATATTTGTGTAGATAAAAAAACACTAACCCGTATTTAAAAGAATCAAACAAATAAACACGCTATTTTATTGTTATGAAACTAAGAGTAAATCATGTTATGTGACCTTCATTCTAATTGTAGATTACCTACAACGAGTTGCTTTGTCTATTACTATTATGATGTTGTTTCAACAAGGTATTCTCCAATACACCACAGATATTGAAGCTATTTTTTATTGTGATATAATTGGACTGTTGAAACAGTTCGTCCTGGCCATTGAAGAAATGAAGTTTGATTCAATTAATATGAGAATTAGGACAATGATGAATTAACTTCAACAATTAAGAGAAACTGTACAATTCTTGACTTTTGATTACATAATACATACATATTTCTTCTCACTATAATTGATTAATCGAATTTATTTATAAACTGAGATGACAGTGGCTAGCAGTGGAATCCATGAGTCACGTTTCGTCATATGTGGGACTAGTCAGCTGGATGTATCTGTATCCCAGAGTTGATTCAAGAAACCAATACAAAAATGAACTAGAATTTATTTAGTTTATCATTCTTTGAACTATAATGACAAGTTTTTAGAACACTAATGAGTTATATATTATCAATATATATGTGGAGTTGACTTGATCAAAATCTAACTTACATTGATAACAAGTTCCTAATGCATATATCATTACCTTGATCTTTTGTATCTGTTCAATCAGTCGAACTTGTCAGAGAGCATTAGATCTTTTAAGACTACTGATACACCTTACTGATATGTTGCAAATAGCACAAAATATAAGTTTATGGTTTACCATCGACTAATTCCAGTCACTAAACAAGTAGAAAACAATTTTTTTAGTTTGTTTTTCAACACAAAAATAGGCGAGTGAAGAAATGTTTAGTTTATTAGTGATTGCATGTGTATGAACAAGTGATCTGATCAGTGAGTTTTCAGAAGCTTGATTATATGCTTTTAATTAGTTTAATTATGGTAAATATGCATGATATCTACTGCTAAAGACAATTAGCTAACAACTCTTCTACTTGGTCAAATTATTTGTCAAAACATTGTGCAGTATTTTAATAGTTTTCTTCATGGAACGATATTTAGCTAGAAGACCGTTAAAATCAGGGTCTATTTTATAGTTTACATTGCCAAATCGACTTAGACAACCATTGGAAACTAGGTAGCACTAAAGAGCTGTTTCATATTAGTATGAGACTTCTTTGTGTGATCAGAAATTGAAACCCGGACCACTCAGCTTAGATCAAATAGGTTACATCTTCATCTTTAATCAGTTGACGATACCATACAAACATCTTCCAGTGCTATCTATGGTTAACTAACTCAAACTCGACATAACTAAACTGTCCTAGCCATGGCTTCTTACTTATGTTTAACCTCTTGAAAATAATCTTTAATGAGTGCAAAGTTGTTACGAGTTTAAGAAGTTTGTAGAAACTACTCTCTTCCTTTTCCATGGTTATTTAACTATGGTTAGTTTTTTTTATATGTAAACTATAAAATTCAACTATCACCATAAAGTCCTCATATCCCATGAAATGTTTAATTGAAGATTTAATTGTCTAATTCATCTTAGTATAAGACTCAAAAGTGTGAATCTACTATCTAACACTTAGAAATCAAACCTTAAGATCTCCCGTTAGTATATCAAGTTGCCATAGCAACTAACTTTTTTATAAACTATTTAAATTCTTCCAATTCAAAGTTTATAAAAAAAATATATACTTTATTCATTGATTATTTTCCGTAAATTTAACACCTATACACATCATTAAAGCCCATAAATCATTTTTAAAAAATTTCAATAATCTATAATCAGCTAATATCAAATTAAATGACTCATTATTGAACAAGTAAATAAAAATACATAAAAAATCAATAATAACCACAGCAATAACAGCACTAATAATCTATTCACAATAATAAATGTGATATACATTTGTAAT